TCGTGGAGAGATACTACCAAATCTAAAGTTTGAAATCGGTGCTCTCTCTTTTTTAAGATCCTTGATTATTAGCAACAATAGTTTCCTTGGATTTATTCCCGAGGAAATTGGTAATTTAAGCCAACTTCGAGAAATGGAGATGCAGGACAATGAGCTAAACGGTCCTATTCCAACAAGTCTTGGATTTCTTGAAAGTCTGCAGAAGCTAAATCTCTCCAATAATAGACTCTATGGGGAAGTTCCTAATACGGGTTTCAACCTCTCTTTTTTGACGGTAATTGATTTAAGAAACAATAGTCTCTCTGGAAGTCTTCCTACAAATATTTGCAATAATCTTCCAAATTTGGAGACGTTGAGAATTTCTCAAAATCAAATAAGTGGTAACATTCCTCCAAGCTTGGGAACATGCAGGAAGCTTCAAATACTTGTTCTGTCGTACAATAATTTATCTGGAAGCATTCCAATGGAAATCGGAAACTTGTCAAAGCTTCCAACTCTCAACCCAGGAAAAAATAATTTGATAGGTACGTTTAAAGTGGTTTTCATATATATAAATCTCCCAAAACATAATGTTTTCCAAAAAATTGTGAAATTGAACAATATTGTTAATCTTTCACATCATAGATATTTCATACATTCATAGTGACCTGTATATTTTTGTCTATCAAATACGCCCTTTTACACAGCTACACTAAAAATTAAGTATGTACTTACCCGACGAAACCTTAATTGTGCATTTTGAAACTGGGAACCTATTTTGGCTTATAAATTATTCATGCAAAAGCATGTAGAAACGTTGACCAACAAACTTATCTTTAATTCCTACATAAAGAATTAAAGTCGTCATCATATCATTTTATACAAAAAACGATACACTATTCAATATGGTTTCACGGTACAATGAATAAAACTAGCTTTGACCAATATGTTTAACCATGTATAGCATTTACCAAATAATTAAATACATCGTAACAACATCAAATCCTAAATACCCAATCATCATGGAATTTAGAGCCACCAATATTGGAATTTAAAACCTTTATATTTTAAATTTAATTTTCTAATCCAGTATTATCATTTGATAATAACTTTTTGAAATTTTAAATATTTGGCTTCTGGATTTCAATTTTTAATATCCTAATGTATTCACAAGAAGCATTCCATATGAAATTGGAAACACGCCGCAACTTCAATATTTATATTTGGATTCAAATATCTTAACAGGTATCTATCTACTTACTTATTAGTACTTCCTGTATTCATTAATTTGAGTGCATTGACAAACTCCGCGCAATGCAGGTAAAATTCCACATTCAATCGGCAGTTTATCAAATTTGAAGGATTTGCGTATTTTTTATAACAATCTTCACGGTCAAATACCAGATTCCATCTTCAATCTCTCCATGTTACGAATACTCAATTTGAATAACAACAGTACCTCTGGAAGTCTTCCATCATCAATAACCAATGGGCTCCCTGATCTAGAAGGTCTCTATCTTTATAACAACCAATTGAGTGGAGAAATTCCTGCCTTTATTTCAAATTTTCCTATGCTTACTGAATTGGAACTTGGTCGCAACTCTTTCAGTGGTACGTAACTAGATCTCCTAAACTTATTTTATAGATTAAATTTATTTCAGTTTGTGGTATAGTGTCTTGACAAAGGTTTATACAAAAACTCTAATTTTAAAACGGACATATATAAAAATTATTTATGCTGACGGAAAATCTAAATGAACTTTAGGTTACCACCTAGGCATTTTACACTCTTTTGACAAATCTTTTTCCAGTACGTATGGAATTAAATGTTCTAAAATGGATTTAATGTTTCTAGACGCCAACACTAAACTTCAAACTTTTACTGTAATTTATACCAAAATTAAAATTGTCATATATAAAAAAGATTTTTATTGCTGATGGAAAATT